TGGGGTATATTAGGTATTGGGTTAATCTGAAAAGGTATAAAGAAAATGACAAACATTTTCTGATCTAGTTGACATCCCGGGGCTACACTAGTGTTGTCAAATAGCTGTGTCAGAATAATTTGAGTTGTGTATTGGCTATTGTTGGATACTTTTATTCTCTCTACACAGTACAGATTGGCTCAAATTTAGGCTCTTGATATTTGTATTAAGCACAGTAAATATTCTGAGTTCTGTCCTATTAAGCTTAAAAATGTGACTATTGTGGTCCAGAACCAAAAGACTAATTTTAAATATACTATGAGGTTGATTTCCTGAAGGAATATAGACTGTTCACTTAGCAAAGAAAATGTTTATTGAGCTTAGTAATAAAGGTAAATCTGTGTTCACATCAATCATCCAGTCATGTAAAAAAAAAGAAAGAAAATACAGATTTACCTTATTCATTAAGCTCCGTGAATATTAACTTTATGGAGTAAACAGTCGCTAATCCTTTCATAAATTAACCTCTATGTATCCTATTGCTTCAAAGAATGAGGTTAATATTGAGCTTATAGGCAGCCAAATCTTGATGCTTGCACCATAGCAGGCAGTAAACATGTATGCAACGCCAAAATGGGTGATTTTCAATATTAGTGATAAAGTGCTTAAAATGTAACAAATGTAATGTTTACATATATTATAGTAACACAAAAAGCATAATATTATGTAAGGGTCAGACATGTAATGCACTTGTGCAAACACATTAGCTCCTTTTTGAGACCTGTCATTGTCTAGGTGCATCTACTGTTGCCAATCTGTTATTTTCCTTGTATAAACAGTTTTATTTCTAGTATGAATCAAAATTAGTCACCGTTCCATTCCTTATTAGGTCAGTGTGTTGAGGATTAACTTTATGTACATGACAAATACGCTTCAGAAAATAGAGGTGTTAAACACAGCAAACAGGGCAAAAAACAACTCCTTTGCCTTAAAGCATTTTTTACAGACTAAGTTCCATAAAGTAACTGCATTTCAAGCAGGGTCAGCAAGCTGCTTTGTAATTTCATAAAGATGAGAAGTCTCAAATAGCTAACTTAAAATAATAAAACAAAGTATTACAGACCTTATAATGAAAACCAAACTTTATGGCAATTATGCTAACAAGGTCATCCAGTTACTGGTCACAGCTGTGGAATTTACCCAGAGCTGTGATCAGAGTTATAAAAATATCTGCAATGTCCTTGTTCCACTGTAATACAATCTTGTTTAGGCAACTCATTTACTATAGGGTAACTATACTAACAGGATGCAGACATTTGTAATTTATCTATATCCTTTAGAACAAAAAACATTTGTTTTGCTAGAGACCAGTTTAATCACATGAACAATTTAGCATTTGTGATGTGGGGAAACTCACTTGTCCCAACCCCACCTGATCTTAAACTTCATCAGATCTGAGTAGTGGAATCATCGGCTTCTTAGTAAACCAGCTGCTAATTTCGTGGTTTCTACTTTTGTCAGTAATAACTCTTCAGTTATGCTCTGGAGTCGAAAAAAAAATCCTTTCTTGGGCTTCAGTTGCAGTGTGCCATATAGCCTAGAGCACAAGCCATTTAAAGGGAATGTAGTTTTTTGACTTTTTTAGATATATTTATAAAAGAGATCAGCTTAATATAGCTTCACTGCACTTTTTCATAATACAGGCCTATAAATCTTAATTATAACACTGTGGTAATGTGGTATGGTCATACCCCTGCCATAGAGCTGCTTTATAAACAAAAGCACTAATTTATACAGCACAGCTATAAGCTCCAAAGCAAGTGAAGAACCATTTTCAAAATTTGTAGATCTCTAATAAGATTAGCAGTGACATTTACACAGACCACATAAAATGAAGTAAAAAAAATAAGAAGAAGAACGGATGCAACTTATTTGTTCCAATGAGCTACACAAATAATTTTGAACAAAAAAGTATACCAAGTGGCAATGAGAACAATACCGTGAAAGGTTGAAGAAGATTTTACAATTGGGTTATTCTCATGGACATCAATAAAGCTATATTTTAGAAGATTAGGCTGATGTGCTATGCAGGATTTTCTTGCAAGAGTAACTGACTTATTATTCGGGTGAGTGTATCTTTTTTTATTTTAAACCCTAAAATAAAACTAGAATGTATCCCTTCAGTGTGCGGGTAGCCCAACTGCACAGATTTAAAATTTAATATGCCTGGAGTTTGTTTGTTTTTTACTGCTTTTCAGAATATGTAAATATGTGATTGTTCCTAGCCTGGCTACAGTTCTACTTTCGAGTGCTTCTCGATTTGGTTGTAACATAAACAATGCAAGTCTATTTAAAATATTTAGCCTGGTAAAACTGAATGATAATTTATGGCACCATCTTTTGTTATAGCAATAAAGTTAAGTCTAAAAAAAAAAGTTTAAAAAAAATAAAGAAGCTAAAAAAATATTCAGAAATAATAATTAAACAAAATAACACAAAAAATTTTTTAAAGTACCCCGCCCCCCCCACATACACACGGAAACATGCGCCGGGTGCGCCTATGTACAAAAACGACGATTGCGCCCATTATGCAGCACATGTTACATATCACCGCGAACGTCGCAGTGAGAACAATAATTCTAGGGCCATCAATCACTGATGACACTAAACTGATGAGCGGTAAATACGTTTAAAGCGGCGCCTATGGCCAATTTTGCTGCATGACAGAATAAACATCAGTCAAAGTACCGCAGCGCTGAATACTGAAAAATGGCCTGGCCAGGAAGGGGGTGAAACACCATGGCCTTTAAGTGGTTAATGAGTAAAGTCATCATAACCATTTATTCTTGCTTACATAGCTGCAAGAAAATAGTTTGCATTTTGTCCTACGGCATACTTTCTGACATCAAGTTATATGATTTGCACAGCTGGAATGTAAATACCTGATAGATGCAGGTATTTACATCCTTTAGTAAAGACATTCAGATTGTAACCCTGCTAATGCCTTAGACATTGAAAATGCCATGCCTGAAAAAGGTTTCATTACATAACATTCAGGAGAGGCAGAAACTGTTCCACAACAGACATATCAAGTAGTCCAACAGAACTTGCACGGTACATCTTTTTGTGAGCTTTGTTAAGGTGGCCATACACTGTACAACCATCGCAAGACTTTAGTCTTGCGATGGTTGTAAAGGGATTTAAAAAACGTACGATCTGCCTATCTTGGACAGGCAGATCGCACTCTCGATCATCGCAAGCCCGCCCCCCTGAGGGGCGGGCTTCCGATGACCGCAATGCTGAACGGGCAGTGTGCGTGCACACACCGGCCCGTTCAGCATTTGTCTTTCGAGCACCGTTCTAACCAGCCGAGAATCGTACGATTCCCGGCTGGTTTTCGAACATGCTGGTTCGACAGAAGACGTGCGACCGTACAGTAGAAACGGTCGCACGTCTCCGTTCACACTGCTCGATTATCGTACGAAAACCCGATCGCATACGATTATCGTACGATAATCGTGCAGTGTATGGGCACCTTCAGAAAGCAATTTCCAGGCTTAGTGAATGATGTGAAACCTCGCATGTCTAGTATCCTTTTAAAACCATCTGCACTACGAGTTTCCACTTTTTATTTTATCTGATGCATGGGCCATTCGGATGAACTGTCTGCTTCCAATTCCTGAGACTGCAAGACAGTCTGTACCTGAGAGGAGGTAATCACTGGAAGGTATTCGGCATCAGGTGCTTCCTTTACCTGTTTCGAATTAGAGGAACAGCGCATACAGACCCTGGTGGGTCTCTGCTAAAGGTGAGGTGCATTCCAGAAGATTTCTCTGTTGATGGTCACAGGAGACTAAGTTTATTCTACATCCAATGTTTTATCTTCTATTTACTTAATGGACTATTGAAGATCCAGGATCATGGACATTTTTTAACCATTTATTATTTTCACTGGAGTGCAAGTTACACACATGCGGTTTTCTTGTCGGTATTCTTTGCACATTGCATCACATTGATTCACAGTTAATATTTAGTGCATTTGATTTTTCATTATGGATATTTTGTAGCAATTACATTTACACTAAGGTGCATGTTATATACATGCGTTTCTTTTTTGTTTTGCACTTTTTACACATTGTATCACATTACTTCAAGGTCAGTATCTATTATATCTGACACTTTGCGGTCTCATTCACACAGCGCGGCTTTTACCATTAATTTCCAGGCTTACCTAAGCTCCCATCATTCTACAGGCCTATAAAGGCCATCACTTTGGACGTGCAAGAAGAGGAGTTCATGCTCCGTTAGTGATCTCCCCCATGTTTTGAAACGGCTTGGGCCAGACTAATATACCTAATGGCAGATTTTGCCATTCCTGGAGTATATTAAAACCTTCATCAGTCTCACTGAATTTTTTATCCCGCTTTCTTTAATAAGCACTGGTGATGTAGTGAAGGCCTCACAGCTGCCCTCTGCCTTCCAGGAAGATCTCATTTGTATTCTCCAAGATCTTGCGAGATCTTAGTGGGAAAAAGCATTTTCCCACAGATGTCATGAAATGTCACATGTGCAAAGAGGCAGATACAGAGCTATGCATTATGCTATGAATTAATTAAATCTAACAAATTCCTGCTCACAAATCAAGAGAGAAGAAATGGAAGGTAAGGGAAAATTGGAGCATACACAGGAGCAGGGATGATGGAAAACTGTTTGAATGGGGAGGGGGATGTAAAAGAATATTGTTCAACTCAATGCATGCTGTTTTCTTCAAATATTGTGCATTTTTATACCTTCTAACATTCTAATTTTGCTGACTGACATCTATTTTCTTAACTCCAATAAAATATATATTAGAAAGTCAAAAGTATGAGTGTGAAATAAGTATTCTTTATATTTTTCCAACTACGGCACTGAATGCTACAAAAGGACATGTGAAACGCTAAAGATTCATATAAAGGTTATTTATTTAACAAAATAAGTAAGATGATAATAACATATCATTGTATTTTATGTGTTCTCACCTTATTGCACTTGCTGATAAATGTCCATAAGAGCCACTAGCTGAGGAGCTGCTTCGTGAGTTGTTAAGAATAGTAACTAGAGAGTTTGGAGATGTTCGAATCATGGTCTGCAGGTCAAAGCTGTGATCTGAGAGTGGGGATATAGACAACGTCCGTTTTCGGCTTGGCCTTGCTGTCAGTCTGGGGCTGGGGTACCTGGAACCTAAAGAAAAGTGAGGAATTTAAAACTAAAATCATTTAAACATACATACAAAATGTGTTCCAGAAATTTAAGGTCTGGTTTAGAACTATTATCGCTATCTATTTTATGCAACTAATAGTATGCAAACCAGGACAAAATTGTTCAGTTGCTATGGGTTACTGCACAGAACTGCTCTTTGCTGAGTGTTAATACAGAAGCTAATTTGTTTTATAGCAATTTATAGGCCACTTTTCATTTCAGACTGTAAAACAATGCTACAATTTTATGACAGAAACCTGTATATTTTTCGTAAAAAGTGCAGATGTAAAAGGTGATGTGTTTATACAAGACATTATTATTACTACGGTGCAGCCCCTGTTCTCTACAGACAGGATCAGAACAGCGAGTGGTTTTGACAAGTGCCTTCACTTTCCACCTGTGATCTACTAGCTACAATTGAGGAAAATTAGGAAGAAAAATGTATCTTCCAAAGCTTTCCTCAGGGGAGCTCTGTTTATTAATGTGCAAGCAACATGATAAATTGCTAAACAAAAGGATAAGACTTCTATGTATTAGCCCTCTCATTTCTGGTGATTTATGAATCTGACGGCTGCAGCGACATTCCCATCATTAATTCACTGCAAACAATGAAACGGTGCTGCTTAGGCCTAACCAACAAGCCTGTACCGTTGTTAGAAAACGAGTGGAGCTGAAAATATACCAACATTCAGATTGAGATACATGCTTCTTGGCCCCATTTTATTTGCCTTGCACACTGAGACTAAAGACCTCAGATACAAAAAAATAAATAAATAGAAAAATTGCATTAATACAGATAGAAACAAATTAAAGTAATGTACTTTTGCCTTTTTTTTGTGTTTTTTTTTTAGCAGAAAGTGTAGTAAACAATAACTAAGAAAAATCCATAATATTTTACAGTTTATTTTAGTTACCATTTCATTTTACATTAGACTTTTCAAGGCAAAAATTAACATCCTTTCAGGACCCTGGCATCACTACCATAATTTCAATTAGAAAAAGACCATAAATACTAGAAAAGGTTAATGTTGGAGCGTCTACTTCAAAGCTGGCATCTACATATCCTCCCTGTGATAAACAGATGAGTCAGTGAGATTGTTACATTGACTAAAAAGAACTGCACCACAAATGCTAAAGTTAGAAAAAATTAAAAGGAAAAAAAAAACTACAATTATTTTTATTTACTGTGTGCTAACAAGTACAAAGTCAGGAGGTATAATTAGATTAATTTGTTCAGCAAGTTGTTGCATTATTATATAAAGAATTACTGTCTGATAACTGCATCCTTCTTGCTGAACCTCGTATTCCTTCTGCTACTGAGAAATTTGAGTAGCCCATAAGAAAATATATAGATATAGATATATAGATATACATGTATATCTATAT